TGGGTATTGCTGCCGACTTCGTTATTTAGCTCGGAACCATTGAAATGAAGAATGAAGGTTGAAATGGGAATAGAGTCCCATTTTTTTTGCATTTCACCATTCGCTCCCAACGAGGATTCTTGTCGAAAACTTTTTATTAAAGTAGGCAGGTAAGATGTTTGTTTGTGATGCATTATACTTTTTTCGAATCCGTTCTCCCACTTAAGTGTTAATTCGAAACGTATGTATGTACAAAAAACTATCGAAAATGGTGGTGAAACGGATGCGTGTTTGGCTGTTTTCCTGAAATTTATCTGATTCAGTTTTTCGCTGAAAACGATTACATTCTGAACTTCACAGAAACTTTTTCATAGTTGCCGGAAACCACACAAAAAAAAAAACAATTTTATAATTCAGCAATTATTTAAATTTTAATGTACCTTCAGACGGCATTCGAACCTGGGATCTCTTGAAAGCTATCAAATAGTAGCACGCTCCTCTGCACATTGAGCTACTGCCGAATACGTACATATGCATGTTTTCAAATGTTCAGTTTAAACAAATATTTTAAAATTATTGTTTTGAAATAACATTATGACATTTTTCGGATAGGAAAAATGAACACAAATGGAAATCGTTTTCTGAACGTATCCGGATACGAAAAATTTACGAAAATCTCACTATCGGCAAAAAGTACCACTTTAATTTGGTAGATTAATAATTTTTTTTTTAATATACATAGTTCAAGCCGCAACAAAAATTATATACAGATGCGATCAACTAATTACCAACGAAATTCAAAATGATATTGTTTGCAAATTATGTTTATTTATTTATTTTTAATAATTTTCATTTAAAATATAATTCAATCCATAACAGAAACCACAATAATAAACAATAAAAAGCTTGCACAAATTGGAAAAAATTAGTCAAACTTCAAAAAATTGACATCAAAATTTCAAAATGTTTAATAAGATTATTTAGAAAACTTTCGAGTATGCAGTTTTGTAGCCCACTCAATTGTTGTATAAGAAAGGTCAAGATTCTTGTCGTTAAAAATTACTGTTGATTTGTTAGAATCTTTTGTATGAAGGGTGTGGCATTTTCTTCCATATATAACATGATAAACATTTTTTTATATGAAAAAAAACAGCAACCCTCCACAAAAAAAAAATCTAAAAACTCAACGGTAATTTCTAACGACTCGAAACTTGCACTTTCTTATACTACAATTGGATGGGCTACAAAACTGCATACCCGTAAACTTTCTAAATATTCTAATTAAAAATTTTGAAATTTTGATACACTTTTCTTTTTTTTGTTTTTTTTTTGTAATTTATGCAAGCTTTTAAAATTTTATTATTGTGGTTTCTGTTATAGATTGAATTATATTTTAAATGCAAATTATTAACAAGTAATTTTTGGGCGAAAAAAAACCGACTTCAACTCTCATAAAAAATATATATATATATATATATCTCATGATCCACTGATCGGATATTAACCAGATTAGTATGGGACCACGCCCGATGCAAAAAGAATTATCGAAATCGGTTGAAGTGGTCCAAAGTTATGAGGTAAGATACATAAAAAGTAAAAAATAAAAAAAAATATAAAAAAATAAAAATAAAAATAAAAAAATATTCCGACGAACTGATAACCTCCTCCTTTTTTGGAAGTCGGTTAAAAACAAATAAATAAACATAATTTGCAAACAATATCATTTTGAATTTCGTTGCTAATTAGTTGATCGCATCAGTGTTAAACTTGTACAAGATTTAGAAAGAATTATAAAATTTTGATCAAAATTTCAAACTTTTTGAAGTAGCTAAAAGTTCTTGTTGATTTTTGACAATTTTTTTTCCATACGGTGTAGCGCCTATTTTCCATATAAAAAGCGTTCGGTACATGAAAAAAACTACACAAGACCGTCAGTTAAAAAAAGAAAATCAAAAATCAACGAGAATTTTGAACATATGTATATTTAACTGTCCTACCTTAACAAGAGCGTCAGCGTTGTCTGGCTGTCAACAAATTCTCATACCCATACAATTTGTATGAAACATACGGAAACAACGCGGCGTCAACGCTGAGCGTTGCAGAAACCGGCGAAACTGTCATTTTCGTGTTACACATAAACAAATCAGTGCTTATTGTTTGTGTGATTTCTGCATTTGACGTAGCGTTGACGCTTTTATTTAGGTATGGCACTTCGGCGTTAACGCTAGGCGTCAGAAAACGCTCCTCCAACGCTTTTGTTTAGTACTGCCAATATAGAAGTATTATAATGGAATTAGCGGCGTCATGAAATATATGTATATATATACCGTTAAAATAATAAAGTCAACGTAAATGCCTCATTATGTTACATGCATAGTCTTTTTCTGAACAGAGGTTTTACGAAAATCCTATAAAGCGAGCAAGCAATTCATTTTCAAATTAATTTGCTCTAAGTAGAAATACCATGTGACAATAATGGTATTTTCAATTATACCAAAAAATGTCACCTTTTGATTGCCCCTTTCTCTTTTCGTGTGTGAATAAGGACAAAATTTGCAGTGATACCATTTTACAGGGTTGAGTATAACATCAAATACATTTTGTACCGTGGAAGGGCAACATTTTTTTGAAGAATCGAAATCACCATAAGTAAGCTCCATTTGGTGTTCCCAACGCAGATAAGTTATTCCTCTTCTCTTGACACCGCAACGACGACCCTTTTCAAGGGTATGGGAATGTTTTCTATACCAACATGACCTTGCAATAACAGAATTTGTGGTTGAATTCTCTAAACCATAACGCATTCGTACATACATATGTATGTAGCTTTTGTTATATGCTTCACCGTACCATACCTGAACCAAAGTCGAAAGAGGGTTAATGTAAACAAATATACGAGTTGCTTACATTTAAATATTCAAATAAGCGTACATATTAGACTGCATCACCAAAAAAAGGTGCGGCTTTTCGGCGGGATTACAAAATTTATTATATTTGAAGGCGTCCACCAAAATATTTCGGAAAAATATTAAGATTTACGTGAGCTGGGCCCTATTGCACCAACGAATTATCATTAGCATTTTAGCAAATTGTCGAACTTGAGCAAAGTTTTGTGTTGCACCAACATGATAAGGAAAAGTCACTCAAATGAGTATTGATAAGTAAAAAATAACTCAAAATCATAGATAAGCGTTGCACCAAAATTTGAACTGCTTAGCGAAAAGATTTTAGCGGATAAGTGATAAATTATGCAAATTATCAAAATTTATTAGCATTTCGTTGCACCAAAAATTTTTATTTATCACTTGTCATTTTTCATTTTGCTAACTTTAGCATTATTTTGCTAAAAATAATTTTACCTTATCATACCACTGATAAGTTACATTTATTCAGTCTGAATGAATTAATCAAGGCTTTAACACTGGAGAACAGTCTGCAAATAATAAAAGGCGTGTCATAAAAGAACAAATCTACTACGGTTTACAAATTGGTGTAATAGAAAAATTGCGGCAATCTCGTAGCCAAATTGAAAAAATTTTATTAAAAATTGGAGCGAACCTTTAATATAACAGTGAGTGTAATAATGGCATGGTCGAATGCATGAGGTCCACATGTGCGCCCGACATAGTAAGAAAAAAAGAGAAGTTGAAAATGTTTATTAAATCGCACATGAGCTTGCTAAGCCTTCGTTTTCCATTAAGAAACCGTAATCATTTTAGCTAAGCACATTATTCGTAAAGTTCTCTATTTGAGAAGCAAAAGAAATTGGCTGTGCAATGCTTATAAAATCGACTTATCCAAACAAATTTTCAGTTCCTCCTTTTTTTATAAGTTGATATTTTTTGATAAGTAAAAAGTGCACCACTTATCAACTTTACTTTTCAAAAAAAAGGCTTATCCAAAAGTTGTAAAGTGATAAGTGATAAGCCGTTGGTGCAATTGGGCCCTGGACCGATTTGAAAAAAACCTCCAAAAATGGAGTTTTGTATGAATAAAAATAGTTTCTTCAAGAACTTTGTGAAAAAAATCCCCTCAGCTGGCAAAATAGATTAAGCTTAAAAAATCTGCATAAAAATATTTAAAAATCTTGTCAACGGAATCGTATGCTCTTATTTTACTTTTTTCAAAGATTGATTTACGAAAAACTTGAATAACTGGGTCAAAACTATTCTGATTTAGACTTATGGGGTCTCAGTAGAAAGGTATTTTCCCACTCTTTTTATTTCTGTACAAATTTATTTTTCAAATACCAACAAATCTTAATTCAATTCGGAATGACGCTCGTTCATCCTACCTTTCTCTTTCATCCTTTGAATGAGTTTATTAGCAAAGAAATAAAAAGGGTGAGAAAATACCTTTCCAATGATACCTCAGAAGTCTAAATCGCAATAGTTTAGTTTCAGTTATTCATTATTTTATAATTCCAATGGAAACACAGTACCGATTTTTATTTTTTTTTGTATGGGGAGTGATGCAGTCTAATGTACATATGTACATACATATATGTGGAGCAGTCTGCAAATATTTTTCGAAGCCCATTTGCACGCATATTTAAAAATTGAACCGCAATGATTGTTTGATGCATCTTCCTGTGGTTGAGAACGTTCACTACTTATCTTATTTTTTATAAACCGGAACTAAATGTTTAACAACAAGTCCGCTGAATAAGGACAAAAAGTCATTATTTTAGTTCTTTTCTTATTTCACCGATGAATTCTCAGAGAGGCATTTCATGTCACCGCGGCCACCTCTGTGCGTGACCTCTAAGGATTTGGAAGAAAGTTGAAGAGATTGAAGGTCTAGGTGACATGAATATACGTGCAGCATATTTTTCCGATATGACGGGACTTAAATTTAAGAAAACGTCATATATATCTTCTTTAAAATGCTGTAATCGGGAGCGTATATAAACTTAAACTAAATTTATTGAGTTATTAACATGCAAACGAACATGCATAGTACAAGAATATGTAAATATGAATGTTATTGAATTTAATTATTTACCTTTTATTTTATTCTAGGTCGATTCGGAAGAAGAAAAATTACCAGAGGAAAAATTTGTTGATGAACTGTCCAAAACTCTTCCTCAAGGAACGGATAAAACGCCGGAAATTTTGGATTCAGCTTTGAAGGACCTTCCGGATAGGTAATTGAAACAAAATATAACAAAATCCCATTAAAAGGGTAATGTTTAAGATCTTCTGAAATAAAAATAGAGAATAACATTTTGCAAATGATGAATGTATGTACTTACATTGTTGAGAATGTCTAGTTTCATTTCAGTACATATTTCATTAAAGATCTAATTCCTCTATCTTCAAGTGGAATTTCGCTTAAACGTCTTTCCGATTTTGTTATTTAGGTGGAAGAATTATGTTATTCGTGGTATCTTTACATGGATAATGATATGCGGGTTTGCACTTATCATATACGGTGGGCCTTTGGCACTTATGATTACGGTAAGTAAATCAAGACTAGGCTGAAAGAGAAATTATTAGTAAAAACTATTTTATTCCTTTCTAGACGCTGCTTGTGCAGGTAAAATGTTTCCAAGAGATCATTTCCATTGGCTATCAGGTCTATCGCATACATGGCTTACCCTGGTTCCGCAGTTTGTCCTGGTATTTCCTGTTGACATCCAACTATTTCTTCTATGGTGAAAATTTGGTCGACTATTTTGGCGTAGTCATTAACCGTGTGGTACGTTGGCGTTGTTTTAAATATTATCTTTTTATAATTTCTACTACTAAATTTTTTTGTATTTGCTCTATTATCGTTTATCTATCTCTTAATTTATAACAGGAATATTTGAAGTTTCTGGTGACCTATCATCGCTTTCTGTCGTTTGCATTGTATTGCATCGGTTTTGTCTGGTTTGTGCTGTCGCTGGTGAAAAAGTATTATATGAAACAGTTTAGTCTGTTTGCTTGGACACATGTCTCGCTACTGATTGTGGTCACCCAAAGCTACTTGATTATCCAAAATATTTTTGAAGGTGCGTGCTCATATGCAAAAATAAATGTATCTTGTGTTTTTATACATATTTCTATCTACAAGTATGTACATAAAATATAAGTATGTACCAGTGTACTGCACAAGCCGATTCAATTACGTTTTCAAGCTACCTGAAAAAATACAAGCGCAAGTATGATTCACACTTGTTTAAAACAAGCCATTTCAACTCATAGCTTGAACACAAATGAATACGTCGTGAAAGCGTCGCTGCCATCGCACGAATAAGCTAATTCGTGTAGCGCACGCTCGACAAAGCAATAAGACTGCGCTGCTACACACAACAAAATAAGCAAACAGGCTGCTTAGAAATATACAAGCCACTTGAAATTTACTTGGAATGCACAAGCTACTTATCCATATCCCGTTAGACATGCAATTGGATATGTTTGAAGTAAATCAAGTATGTGTATGAGTTGAAATCCAACAATATTGAAGCAAGCACGCATTTACTTGCTTGTGTCGAACCAAGCCCAGTGAATACAAATAAGTTTTCATGTAGCTTGAAATGTAAGTAGCTTGGTGCAGTACACGGGTACGTACTCTGTTTTAGCCTGAAAAGATGCGTGTTTTGAACTAAAAATTTATTTGAAGCCTTAAGCTGATTCCCGTTATCGACGCAAATAGCACAATATGTACCGGTTTTCATCGCGCTTGATTGGTACATATTTAAAAAATTTGTACAACTTTTTGCGAGGTCCCATTATCATCGCATATTGTGACAATCTTCTTCGGCGAAACTAATTACGCGACGATAATTGGTACAACATGATCACACTATCGAGCTTGATTAATAATAAAAATCAACAAATTGTCGACTTTGATCGTGGCATGAGCGCCTGATAAAATTCGCCGCATTTTTTACGATATTAATTTTGGTGAGCACAATTTCGGCTCAGATTGCCAAATTTCGAAAATATCTGTTTGTTCACACTATCGGTACTTCATGTGCCGAAAATTGGCCCATTGCGTCGATAATGATATCTTGTCTTTAGAAAGAGAAACGTTTTAAAGTGAAGTTTTGAGCAAAAAAATATTTCCTCGCAAAAAAATAAATTTAATTAATTTTTGTAGCAATTGACTATAGTTTTAAATGAGGAACCACACACTTCAACGATTTGGCGCGTATCGATATTCACAGTTCTTCTTTTCGTCGTGCCGAAATCGCAGACTGCCGCGTTTTGAGAACTAAAAAGGTCCGTGGGCCGAAAATCCGCTTTTTGCTTTAGCGTCCTGCGTAAAAATTTCGTTAACAGATTATTTGGTCTTAAGGGAAACTTGGTTAACAGATTATTTGGTCTTAAGGGCACAGGCCATGTTACAAAAATTTAAATTCCGTCGGCCGAAAATCCGTTTTTTTTTTTTAATTTTGATTGGATATGGTTCATTATGCTCTAAAAACAATCTGTGCGAAAGATGACAATTTTTGGTCAATATCTTAAGCTCGCCCAAGTCCATCAAAGTTCAAGTGCTAAAAAATCGTTTTCTTAGCTTACTTCGATTCACTTCAAAAAAGGTTCATATACCAAATTATGTAGGACTAATACTTTCGAAGATTTAAAATAAATATTAATTAATATATTTAATAATTTTTATTTTTTTGTGCACATTGAACTTTGATGGACTTGGGCGAGCCTAAGATATTGACCAAAAATTGTCATCTTCCGCACAGATTGTTTTTAGAGCATAATGAACCATATCCAATCAAAATTAAAAAAAAACGGATTTTCGGCCGACGCTAATGTATATGTATGTATATGCACATGGTCGATTCTACACGGTATTTAAATTTTTGTAACGTGGCCAAATAATCTGTTAACCAAGTTTCCCTTAAGACCAAATAATCTGTTAACGAAGTTTTTGCGCAGGACGCTAAAGCAAAAAATAAGTAAGCGTTTCTGCGCTAAAAATATTAAAGATGTTACAAACACTTTTATTTCCTTTTGAATCGACCGGAGTCGAAATTCGACCGTTTTTCTTGTTTTTTAAGAGCCCGGGAGATGTTTTCAAACTTAGCACGTCGATTAACACGTCGGTAAATCTCCTGCTTTGAAACTAAGTAAAGCGTGACTACAATTTTTGTTTATCTTTTTTTATTTTAAATATTTTATTAGCGCTAAAGTTTAGTTGGCAAAAATTTCTCTATAAACTGTGTATTTTGTAAAAACCCTTTGAAAGGCAGACAAATGACCTTGATCTGAAGTATCTGAAATGTTGAACCACAATCCGTCAAATTAACGAATTCTACAGGCAGCAACATATAATTTTCATCTGAAAACACAGGTGATCTAACGAAATACCAACCTTTTGAAATATTTGTCCCTGAGATTTGTTTATAGTCAAACAAAAAGCGGGGATGATTGCAAACTGTACCCTGGGACGAAAAGGGCAAGAGAGTGCCAGAATAGGACAAATGAATGCGAAGGATTAATATTCGCAAGCCACATGAAATTCCAGTTAAAACTTCACAACCTAAACGGCTTTTATGCATTTGTTTCACACGCATGCGGGTACCATTGACCAAAGCGTTCTTTATGTTTAGATTGCTTATAAGTAATGCAGTACAGTTTGTTTTTTTGAGTACCACTTTATGTGGAGGTAATCCGCGGACAGTTAAAGAGTTTAAAAATTTAATAGGGTATTTGTTATTCTCCCGAACATTATCACAAATAATTTTATCAATATTAAAATATGACTTTTCTTATCCCGGCATACGCTCCAAAATGTCTACATTGGTAAAGGAGCAATCATAATTTTTTTTTGGGGCAAGTATAACAGAATGCCAAATATTATCAGAAAGAATGTGTTCCCCAATATTCCCAATGATTTCTTCAATTATGTATATTATTTGAAATTTCAATAGTGTCTTTTCCAAACTCACGGAAAATTTTCGGTCACCAAGTAATTTGAGAAACTCTACAAACTCAATTTCATGTGGCAGGGCTCTCATATTAAGCATCAAATCAACACAATTTTTGAATTAGGGTGACTCGGGGGCCATGTGGAACCACCGGCAAAATTTGGCGGAAATCACCAGACATTAAAATTGTCTTTCTCCCAAATAGAACCTCTTTATTTTCCGTTCCACTTAGATCACGTAAAAGTCTGATAACTCTATGAACTTCAAAAGCACTAAATTCTTGATTAAAATCGATGACTCGACACATTTCGATAACTATCGATAAATTTCCATAACTGTGCTTTTTCATCACTGGATAGCTCAATAAATCTCAATAAATCTCGATAACGCGATAAACTTTGGCTACCTCTATAAATTTCGATAACTCCAAACATTCTTGTATTCCGATAAAATGTAATAACTCGATGAACTTATATAACTCTGTAAATTTTTATAACTATATACTTTGAAGATTCGGAAAATTTGAATTCGACAAACCGACGAATTTCGATAACTATATACCAACAAATTTCGATTAATCAATAAATATCTATAGCTCGATAAGTTGAAAGAACTCGATACATTATGATAAATCGGTAAAGATTTCGATAACTACATATAATCTCGGATGTCTCGATAAATTTGGATAACTAAATTTTTCATGACTGGATATTAGAGTGGTCCAAAAAAATTAAGCTGGAATTTTAATGCCGGCACCCCCTAGGATTGTTCTATATCGAAAAAATATACCCCTATTTTTTTATTTTGAAACCAAAAAATATTTAGGGGGTGCTCAAAGCGCTCAAAGTTTTCCATGTATTTTATATGGAGAAAAAACCATTTTTCGTAGAAATGGTATAAAACTCTTAAAAATCAATATTTTTCAACCGGAAAACTCTGGTTCTCTTCAGGAGACTTCCAGTATTAATATCCAATTGTTTATTTAACTATTTTTTTATGATTAAAGATTTTTCCATTGCATTTTCTAGGGGTTTTGGAGGACCTATAAAATATAGATACTATGAAAAAATGGTTAAAGAGACAATTGCGTATTATTACTGGGAATCTCCTGAAGATAAGAAAAGTTTTCCGATCGAAAACTGTTGATTTTCAAGAATTCTACACTATTTCTACGAAAAGTGGTTCTTCCCCCATATAAAATACATGGAAAACTTTGAGCGCTTTGAGCACTCCCTATTTTTTTTTACATACATTTTTGGACCACTTTATTGGATATACATATTTCGATTCTTATCGAAAAATTTCAATAAATTTTCTTACCCTTTCAGTTACCCTAATTCTTATGTACACACATATATATCGTTATTTTCGCCTTCACTTTTTTATCGTCATAATTTTTTATCGTTTCTTTTTTCATCTTCACATTTATCTTTTCTTCTTCACTTTTAATACGAAGAAAAAAAAATGCGAAAACCACTCAAATTGAACAGGTTGCGACAACAACTATACGCAAATACGTAAATTTTTAAACGACAATTTTGTGCCTATTTGGAAACCATAAAAACTCTCCTCATCTACAGAAAAATACCTTTCCAATGGTATTATTGGTTTTGAAATCGGTTAGGTAGAATCGCCAAACGAACGGAGACAAAATAAGACGTTGCAAGTTGTTTTAAAAATTATGAATGCGAACCCAACAAACATAGGGGTTAGAGAACGATTAGAAAGCGATTCGAATTATAATGGTTTTCTCTAAGGTAAAAGGTTAGAAGACGATTAGAGAGACTGTTGAGAACTATAGGATTCTCTGCAAAAAGGGGACATAGTTCTCGATATCGAAAAAAAGCTTAGATATCTAATCGTATTCTAACGTTGAGTTCTAATTGGTTTCTAATGTCTAGTATTTTCCTAATCATTCTCTAATCGAATCCTAACATAGTTCTCTAGCCTGATTTTCTATTCGAGAACTATATTGAAATTGTAATGTAAAATGAGAACGTTTTTCTAATGTTAGAGAATGTGTTTGCTGGGTAAGCCTCCACCAGAGTGTATATTTTTACGTAAACATTTGCTGTGTTTCCTTGGACAATGATCGGCATCCGTATAAAAAATTTGCACGCAAATGCAGCTACAACGATGCTATCCTGACAGAGATCTGGTTCATTTTATGATCCGCTGTGTTTGCTGCACGGTTTGGTAGCATCTAGTGAGTTCATTTTTATAATTTCGTCTTCCTCGTGCTCGTAGTATAAAATTAGTGTTGCCAACCCCACAATTCCTGAGTAATTTTTATCAATATTTAGAAAAGTGGGTCAGCTAGCGTGACAGACGTGGAAAAAGTCCAGTGCGTAGAACTGCTTGTACATATTGTCCTTTTGTAACTCTATTTCTCTAGGAACCTAGCCCTAAATTAGGAAATATTATGTTTATTGGGCTTTATTTCAAATGCGCTGCCAACATTGAAATGAAAATTGTGCTCATGATAATTTTTGATCGACTTCAAAGAAAGGAGAAGGTTATCAATTCGTCGGAAATTTTTTTTTTTTTTCGTATGTTACCGCATAACTTTGGACCACGTTAACCGATTTCGATAGTTTTTTTTTTTTATCGGAAATGTGATACCTTAAGGTTGGTCTCATATTAATTTTGTTTAGATTCGATAATTGGATTATGAAGAAATTAACGGTACTCTTATATTTTTATATTAGAATTGAAGTCGGTTTTGTTTATTGCTTAATAATTACTTTTGTATTTTTTTCCAGGTCTCATTTGGTTTATTGTTCCTGTATCGATGATTGTTTGCAACGATGTAATGGCGTACTTGTTTGGCTTCTTTTTCGGTCGTACTCCGCTAATTAAATTAAGCCCGAAAAAGACATGGGAAGGTTTTATTGGCGGCGGCTTCGCCACAGTTATCTTTGGCATCCTTTTCTCATATATCCTTTGCCATTATCAATATTTTGTTTGTCCTATACTATATTCTGAGGAGTTGGGACGAATGACAATGGCCTGTGAACCGAGTTATTTGTTTACAAAACAAGACTACAGCCTGAGTGTGGTAAGAAGCTAATAATCCGATTTTTCTCACTAGCTGCTTAACTTCATATACTTAATTTACTTTTACTCTAATTACAGTTTGGCATCGGCAAATACATCAGTATGTATCCATTTGTATGGCATTCAATTTCCTTAAGTTTATTCAGCTCGATTATTGGGCCTTTTGGAGGTTTCTTTGCTTCCGGTTTTAAACGTGCATTTAAGATAAAGGTAATAAACTCCAAATTACTTGTGCAATTTACGCAATCTATAATTTTTTTCTATTTTAGGATTTTGGTGATATGATACCTGGACATGGTGGCATTATGGACCGTTTCGATTGTCAGTTTTTAATGGCAACATTTGTTAATGTTTACATTTCTAGTTTTATCAGAACACCAGCTCCATCCAAAATTTTGACACAGGTACGTTGTCCATATGATTTGATTTTTTTTGATGTAAATGAAGTTAAATTTTTTATTCTCTAACAGATTTACAACTTGAGACCTGAACAGCAATTGCAAATTTACCAGTCACTCAAAGAAAGTCTTGGGGACTTAATTACAACTTAAAAAGTTTCCAGAAACTATTAAATCTAAGCGTACTATACAGACAAAACGACTGCGGATACGAATACTACATATTTGTTTTAAACATTATAAGTAATAATTTAACTTGTTTGTTTATTTTTATTGTAAAATTGGAATTTGTTGTTGATACTAGGTCTTCATCTTAGCTTTGTAACAAAAATAGAACATCGATCTCCGCTGTTTGTTAATGCAGACTATGTAGGCGGGCAAATACATAATTATTGCATAGCCATAAAAGATCAATCAATGACTAGCAGATTCATCAATTACATGTGGATCTTTGTGCAAAAGTTAAATGCAAAACCTTTAAATGATTCCATATAGCATGAAAACGAAAACAGGAGCAATATTGTGAATTTTTGTTTAGCTGATTGCTTCACTGGAAAACGAAAAGAATCTTTCTGAGGAGACAAAGAAATAACTTGAATTGTGTCATTCCTTCTCTTTCTCTCCAATTAAAAAATAGTTAAATTCATATTAATAATCAAATATCAAATTTAATTTATAATATTTTTTAATACAAATAGGAAGTTCACAAGGTGTTGTATACTGTCGTAAACTTCAAACGGCTAAAAATATGTGACGCACGTTCAGTACCATAAAAGTCATACTTATTACGAATTTTCACAGCTTTAAAAAATAGTTGGTTGTGGTTTCAAGTCCTCTTAACATTTATTTAAGCGTTTAAAGTGTACGACATGCAACAATGCGACAGTATACCACCCCTTGTGAACTCCCTAAATATTCTCCTTTTACTATTACTGTAAACTAAATGTATGTACATAAATACACTACCATTTTTACCAAACTATCAAATTTTCAGATTATCAGATTATGCCACATACACAATTTTAAAAGTATAATTGGGGTTCAGTTAGTCTTTCATCATTTCGCTCTTGTTGTCGTAATGGCAAAATCTATTCCCAAAAAAAGTGCTAGTGAAATCATTCAGTTCGCTGGAAGAAATTTTTGCGTAAAATTGGTTAATTTTTTAAGTGATTATCTCAGATGGGGAAAGAAGTTTAAGAATGAAATTACTAAATAAGGCTAGTTTTAAAGTATTTAATGGAGAAGGACCGCTTGAATTATCTTTTATTTATTATTTATATTTTGTCATTACACTTGTAAACCGTTAATTTTCGAGTTGAAAATTATTATGTATAAGGTGACTTATATGAAGCTAGTGCAATACATAAAACTTACTAATTAATACATTCTTGCAAAGACGTGAGCGATTAAGATTAATGAAGAAAAAATAGTTTTAGTTTTTTAACTTTAATATTTTCGATATAAGAGTACATGTGTTTTTAGTCGGTATTTTATTGAATCAGTTGTTAACGATCAAACTACAAATGTATAAAAATATACATACATACATAAATGCATCCATAATATTTAAAAATAAAATAAATCTGATTGTGTATTACATAGTACATTCGATTTGATGTCAAATGAAAAACGATTCAATTAGTAATCAAATCTGTGTTGAATAAGTGAAAGTCGGACCAAGGTATTGAAAAAGATTATTGATTGTCAACAAAAATGTTGAGTCTTACTGCAAATTTCACGAAAGCAATTTAAGTGAAAAATGATTTTATTTTTTTGGATTTTATATAGAAATTGACAGAAAATAAAAAATAATTTTCCATTTAAATTGCTGGTGAAACCGGCTGTTAAAGATAATAAATATCGTTTATTTTCAAAACTATGCAATTTTATTTGATATGTTCCCTGCTCGTGGCTTAAAATTTGTGAAACGATTGGAAATATATCTTCGTATGGACTAATTGCAAACTTAGATTACCGCTATTGTCGCAGTTCCAGCGCCATTTTTCCCATATTATTTTGCGTTCACTTGGATCAACATGTGATTTTTTTCTCCATAGTAATTATATGTTGGTGCATAGATGTAACATACATACATCTCAGTTATGCTACGCTATGCAAAAGTAATGTATGTAGGTGGGCCAAAGCTGTTGCGCTCCTCCTACTACATTCTTAACAACTTTCATTAGAACAATTTTTTTTTGTGCGACGCGTAGGTCACAAGCGGCGTATAACTCATTCTCACACCACGAGAGAATGAAGGGGTGGAAACCACAGTCTTACGTTAACGTTTTTTAAAGGTTGCATTTCCGGAGTTTCATCTACGGCTCCTACCATGTCGCTAGCTAGTTGATAAAAGGTCGTGAAACAATGGGCTTAATTGTGAGATGTAGTTATTTCGGCTGAAGCAAGCGAGTAATTTGCCGGGAGGTGCATTCAAAAAAAGAACATATCGAACCGTAGATCTGGACGATGCGCATTAGCATTTTCCTTAAAAACGCTTCAACATAGAATACTAGAGCCACAAAAGCATTTCCCATAAAGCCACAAAAAGTCCGAACGTGTCGCCCACACACACACAAGCTCTTGTAGCGAGTACCTCGTTTTTTGTTTTCATATAATTTTTAACCCACTTCCAAAAAAGGAGGAGGTTATCAGTTCGTCGGAATATTTTTATTTTTATTTTTTTTTTTATGTATGTAACCGCATAACTTTGGACCACGTCAACCGATTTCGATAATTCTTTTTGCATCGGAAAGGAATTCCAAAAAAGGAGGAGGTTATCAGTTCGTCGGAATATATATTTTTTTTTTATATGTATGTTACCGCATAACTTTGGACCACGTCAACCGATTTCGATAATTTTTAGAAAAAAAAAACGACTTCAACTCTCATATAAAAAAAAAATATATATATATATATCTCATGATCCGCTGATCGGATCTTAACCAGATTAGTATGGGACCACCTCTGAGACACTACCTTTCCGATGCAAAAAGAATTATCGGTTGACGTGGTCCAAAGTTATGCGGTAACATAAATAAAAATAAAAAATAAAAAATATTCCAACGAACTGATAACCTCCTCCTTTTTTGGAAGTCGGTTAAAAATTAATCTAGAAATTTGAATTTAAATGCTTGGAATTGGGATGAAAAGTTGGGGGAATTCTTATAATTTTTTACAAAGTCTGAAATTTGGATTCATATGGTATAAATAATGAACATTAAACAAACAAAAGATAAATAGTCAAAACTGTTAAAAATGATTAGGTGCTTTCGTTTTGTTGCAGGCTTGAATCCATCGTATAACAATTTTTCGTGAAAACTACGAAAATGCGTTCAGTGTATATCAGTATGTATTTAAATTATATGCTACGTTCGTAGCTATTCGAATTCAGTGATATCATGATATTGGATTGGCTCTAGTTTTCGAGCAACATAGGTTTGAAAGTTGACGAAAAACGCGTTTTTGGACATTTTCGAGCCTTTGTAAAATAATAAATTGATGCAATATATCTGTCTGGGTGGGAGGATATGAAAGCCTGAACACTGCCTTTTAATACTCAAAATTAGGATTCTACGGGAAAAATAATATACGAATTGGCTGTAATATTTTAGTCAACATAACATTTTTAAAATTTTGTTGGCCTGTGTAATCGACGTGTTAGATAGAAAGTGCCGGCTATGCCGGATGAATTTCGATAGACAATTTATTTTTTCAACTGTTTCTGCAGATTATATGAACTCCAGTGTTGATTGCAGGTACTTCAATACCCAAGCCGAAATGAGAAAAAAACTGTGGAGAACGTTCTCAATGGGAATTATATAAGAACGAAACCCCGTGGAACATCCCCAAAGAGAACAAAATGCGAGCAATACTTTCGGGAACAGTTCTGGCTACGAACGAAAAGGGGACAAACGTGAAATGAAAAATTCTTCCATAAATAGACAGTTCATCCTAATGATAAATATTCTGGAAGCGGAAATGATCCAGCTTTTCTCTGACTTAGAATTAACAATCATGGTTCTCATTGAAATGATTTTTTATCCCAACACACAGACGCTCCTTTCGTTCTTAACGTTAAGTTTTCAAAACTTTTGTTCTCGTTTTGTTTTCCAGAAGAACGTTCCTCAAATTTTTGTTGTTACTTGAAAACGTTCTCGATACTTTTGTTCCAATTTCTTTCTCATTGGAAATGGACCCGAAAGTTTCGTTCTCATTCTGTTCTTCTTGAGAACATTTTTGAGAGCTTTGTTCTCATTTTGTTTTTTTTTTTTAGTATGTTTCCGAACCCTTTATTCTCATTTTGTTCCTGTTCAAACTGCTCTCAATACTTTTGTTCCTGTTTGCGAACATTCTTGACATAACATTTTGTTCCCGTACAGAACTAAATCAAAACCGGAATGCGTTCTCGGTCACTGTTCATAATAAACATTTTCATTGCAGTGACGATGCCCATTAGTAACCCATAGTCGGCCTATAATTTTACGATTTTCTTTTTCTTTTTAATTTTTTTCTTTAAATCTTCCGACAACCAAAATTTTTTACATTACGCCTTGGATTTAACTTTTCGAGTACGAAACTCAAGTCTACGATGGATTGCATGATAGGGGTGATTAGAAGACAATACTAACAGATAGACTTCGGAAGATTTTAATTAACACTATGCTACTATATTATGCTTTTATGAAACTGAATTGTGTGTGCATTGTTTAAAGGTAAAACAGAAGCCCATTTATAAAATAATCGACCCTTAATTGTTAAACTTTATTGTTGTAAGACACAGTGGAAAATAAATTCAGCTTATACAGAACGTACTTGATCTAATGGAAGCAAAAGATATTTATCAATAAAATTATAAGTATGTAAAAGAAATTGAATACCTGAGTATTGTGAAATAAATGTGTAAATTATGAAAAACCCCAGAAAATATATTTATTCTTTTGGCACTTAAAAATAAACTTCACGAATTATTACATTTATACGCGCTTAAAAATAATCTTTGTTATACATTTGTGCTGCGTACACCATACACTTGTATGTTCTTGAATAAGAATATTTTTTTTTTAATTTGGACGCGTCCTTTTTATATATTGTGTATTTTTAATATGAATTTCATTCTCTTATTTCATAAAAATTGTTTAGGTCCTACGATGACATGGAATTTTTCAGCATTGAAATTGTGTTATCATATTTTTGGTTTGTGTACAAACACAGACGGTTTCGTCAGGTTGTAGAAAAATTTCAAGTGAGCGAGCTTCAAATGACTTCAATAATAAACAAAACCAAATGCAAATCGAAAAACTCTATGTCAGCGCAGCTATGCTTACCCTTAACAGTAGCAACAATGCTTCTGAGGCTATATGGCTATCACTTTGTATAGCAAGTTAATAGACTTTATAAAAAACTAATTAATCCGTTACTAATAACTAAGTACTATGCTATGTATACAAAAGCAGTATGATGATTGTTTGGCAGAGCTGTAAGGTGTTATGATACACACATACAAATTTATTCGATTTTATAATAAATGAAAATGCTTATTTCCCAGCTAGCAAAATTGTCAGAAATCTGTGAGATATCCGTCAGACTCGTCGGCAAAAAAGTCAGAAATCTGTATGATTTTGGCCGATATCGGTTAGAGAAGCGTATGGAGAGGTTGACAGGAAGTCTAACCGACACGACGTGGGAAATTCTGACTTAATTACCGACGATTCTGACGGATATCTAACATGGAAAATAAGAATTATCAGACGTGTATGCCCGAAATCGGACATAATTCGATCAGACATATCGGATAAGGAAATAAATAAAATTCTCCAGACATTTCGCCCAGAAATCTGTACGAAACCTGTAAGACTTGTCTAAATAGTCAACTTTTTATTCCGACTTGTCTGATATCAGAAATTGTCTGGCAAATGTGCTAGCTGGGTTATTAGGAGCATTAATATGTTAAGCCTTTGGGAAAGCGTAATTTAATATATCACATTAAATTCAGTGAAAAATATGCTCGAACTATGAGAAATGTGGAATTATTCCAGTCTATATTAAAATTCTACGTAACAAAACTTTCAAAGCTCTTTAACATTGTTTGTACATGCCTTATAATTTTATATATGTAAATTAAAGAAAAACGCTGTCGCAATGAAATATTCACTTGTAAATAGTGAATGGAGTACAGTAGAAAATAATATTTTACAGCTCTGTATCGATTACATCCTCATCTGACTGAATTTGGTTTTCTCATTTGTTTAATGTAGGAACTACCGCTAACTCCTTCCTTGTTGTTGCTGTCGCCGTATCTGCTGTAACTGTCGGTTTTGAAATCTTGATCTTTGGAATAACATTTCGGTGCATATCGTCCATACAATCGGCACTAAGTTCATGGTATAATTTGCGCTCGCGTGCCGAGGCTAACAGGCTACGCCAAGCCGGCACCGCCTAAAATGAGAAATTTAAAAGAATTAGGCAAATAATAGTTTGCATAAAATGACTACAATATAATTGTTCATTTAGATAATAGATAGAGGGCCTGTTCGAGACACGTAATAAAAGCGACAGCACTACCGTACTGTTGAAAATATGCAACACTATTGCAACTGCCCAACTGATAAAATGTTGCTAGAAATTCACACCGAACGTGATACTTTATTGATTCGGGCAACACTGCGGCTGTGATTGCAATTCGAACAAGCCCATAATAGGCGACCGCTGCCTGAGTGGTTAGAGGTGACTAGCGTTCGCAGCAATAGCTTGTTTCGGCGATGAAGCAAGTTTAGATGTGCAACTCGAAAAATTTAACGTATTTATAAACAACACTAGTTTTGCCTCGCCCTCATCAATGTACATACATATTTAAACTAAGTAAGTGAAACAAATAGGAGATTTTCACACTTTTCTTGTTTTAACGAACTGTCTGCAGTTCTCATGAAAAATCACAAGAAAAGCTTTTCATTATTTCTGTTACTTGAAAAAGTACTTTGGTGTTGCTGTAATTTTTCTGAAGAAATAAAAATACGAGCATTTTTATAAGCTTTTATTATTATTATTAAGTATGTTTTGTCTGTGTGTAATCAAATCTTGCAGTTAATTTTTAGCCAACTTCCCGATGAACTAAAGACTTGAAACTTCAAACTTAGCCCAGAACCCGATTACAATGCAATATGATGATGTCGTAGCCGGAGATATATGACGAACATTCATCACCCCTATTCTGAAAATCTGCCGTATTCGAATTTTACTACGAATCGTAGAAATAGAATGCTGCAATCCGAATCGTATTTTCGAATTTTCGGAATTCGTAACAATGGCATGCCTAAAAACGAACGAGTAAGAAATTGAGAGCTTTTTTGCGTAATTTTGTACAAAAACAATTCTGTGTCGGAGGCGAGATAAAAGATGTAAATCGATGTGTGTTTGCAGGAAATATTAGTGGTGTTCATTTCAACTGATAAATTGCCTCTCGCATATACGTATATTTTTATCCCCTGCTTTATATAAACCAGTGATTCCCAAAGTGATCCAGGTGGACCCCCAGGGGTCCACGGGAGACTCGCCGGGGGTCTATGTTGGTGTGAAAAAATATGGGGTTTAACAATATTTTTTTTGAGTGGTGTATAGTGCTCTTGACGCACTTTGTATCTTCATACTTGGAGAATCCTTAAAGACCATCTGCAGACTAAAAATAAACGCATGTTGGTATAACACTGAGTGGGGCGAGGCGGAAATCGCTGGCGGCAGAGATTTGAACACTTGTGTTTTTTCAATGCTACAGGATACCTTTGTTAAAGAGACTCTGGGTGCCTTCAGAAATGCATCAAGCCAAAGCATCAGTCTCTTTTATTTCTAAACTATAATTGATGGAAATGTCAAATATGTGCAACCACTGTTGAAAACCTAATTGTAACTTAGTTGCGTAAATAAGATATTTACATCAATTACAGCTTAGAAGTAAATGATACAGATGCTTTAGATTTATGCATTTCTGAGCGCACGCTCTATAACGTTGAGTTCCCTGACGCTGAATGCCGTTTTAATTCCAGCACTGAGCCTGGACTCAAACATTTTTAAATCTTTACTCATGGCTTCACAACTAAGCCTGGGTTAGGAACTGGGCTCTTCTTCGAAATTAGTGGGGATAAGCTTCACTGTTCTCTGGGCAAAACTCATGTTGCCTTCAATCTCAGAAGTTCTATCTAGTTTTTTGCTCTCATTGAGTAGATGGCACTGAAGACAACTTCTAGAACTGTTGACTGGTCACTTCAAACACCTGACTGTGATAAACGTAAATGACAACTCCAGTTGCCCATCCTGCCTTGAAGAGGATGAGACGGTGGAACACTTTTTGTGCTTCTTGCTTGCTTGGTTGTTTGTCATCGATTTTTCTAGATTCGGTCTTTTCTTTATTGTCAGTTTCTGAATTTAAAGTTTGGCGTAAAAAGTTTTGCGGTTTTGTTGTTTCAAGTTTTGTGTTTTAAAAATGTGTGATAAGAATTTTTAGCTTCACTTTAAAACTCGGAGCGATAAAAATATATTTTACAAATACGTCACATGCAAATTCATGAGTAATCCGAACATATGAGGAGTTTATGGTGAACATAATAGGTTCTTTCCCGTACGCAGCGCGGGATGCCGCGGGTGCCCAAAATAGCCCAGAAATCATTCCCATACTCAGCACAATAGGTAATAGAGAGCGAAAATTGAACGTATTGGACCGTAAGTGTCTTCTTCTTCCTGCCCGAGACAGCCCGGACCTTTTCTCCGGGTAAAAATGGATAAAGTGTCAAAGTAGATATCAGGTGCTTTGTGTTTACATCTTGCCTGCATTTACTTGGTGCTTTTAAGGAATAGTGAATGTATTTTCAATCTTTATATACTTAAAATCTAATTTGTGAAACAAAAATTCAATGTCGAAGAGTTTGCATTTAAGTGACAAAAACAAAAACAACACGAATCAGGTCTTTCTCAAATTCTGAGCACGAAATGTGGTTTTTTGCGTTCCCGTACTTGTGGATTATGTTTCATTTTTGAGAGCAAACTTTTCGTTTATTCTCTAATTACCGGATCCGGTCCGGATTGTTAGGGAAAGAACCTAATGTAAATAACGCTAGCGCTCGGAGAGCTCTGTTTTTTAAAACTTCCAAACGTGAAATTATTTTAATAGATAGAACACAAGAAAATATTTTATCTTTATTTTTGCCACTCCGAATTTAGTATTGGAACTCACCCGCGATGTAAATTTACATCGTAAGACTAATCTTCACAATTTTTGACGAGCGTTGGGAATATGTTAGAAATGTGGCAGCAGGGGGTCCACCGAAACCAATAAAGTTTTGAAAGGGGTTTACGGAAAAAAAAAGGTTTGGGAACCTCTGAGATAAACGAACAAAAAAGAATCTTTGTTGCCCCTTATCGAGAAACTTGGGTCCGGGTTAGGTATTTGTACAATGATTTTCAGTTGTTGTGTCCAAACGCATAACGCGGAGTTATATGCACAAGAAATGTTGTATACCTTTGGCATGCGGAAGCCCCTCTTCTCCGGCAACACAGAAAGGAGAATTCTACTAAGGGTTATAATCCCTAAGCGCCGCCGAAGGCAGAAGCAAGCGCAAAAGGTGGTGAACCTAACAAAGTGCATGTTTTCAATGGCTTGGAAGAAGTTGTTATTGCATTAACTGGATTGAGAACCAGTTCTTCAGGCATAGGAGTTCTGGCTTGTGGTTAAACAATTCAACCCGAAGCTGACATACATAGATGCGCCCATGGTTACTATGCCCGACAGCTACGCATATCTTTGTGAAATCATTCCCATAGAGCTCTCTTACTCCGCTGCTATAATTGCAAATGCAATAGAATCCATCGTTTCCTTCAAAACATGTAAACTCAAACAATTTAACTATAAATAAGCACTTGATGAGTGTTTTTTCAATTCCTTTCCACTTTGTTTTCCTTCATTCAGATATCTTCGAAAAACAACTGATCGCTGGCAATGCTGCACATGTTTCCGCAACGGTTGCAGCATGTGGATTTTTTGTTTTTCGTAACGTAGCTACGAATTACGAATAACGAAAATTCGGGTTCTAGAAAAAGCGGGTGTATTTCTTGCCATTGTTAGGCTTGTTCCACAAGCTACTCGAAGTCACTTCGAGTTACACATAAGCATTCCACAAATAAGTTTTGGAGTTTCTTTGATATACGCTCACAGCTTGAACTTTGCTCGAGTCTTTCTACAAGTAGCTTGTGGAACAAACCTATTTACTTGAGCAACGTTTCTCCAATATAAGGTTTGCGCAATTTTATTGTGTGGTAATTTCCACCATATTGACTTGTACAAGTCTCGGGTTGCGCAATGATTTTGTGTGGTTTAGGGGCCCTATAACTTCGTTCTTCGTTATGCAAATAAGCATACAGATTTTATGTTTTTGTTAAAGCAAGCAATATCATTTTTTTTTATAACTATGGATTTAATTATAAATTATTTTTTTAATTTTTTGTTTTTTAAATAAAAGTTAAAAAATAACAGTTGTGTTTGCTTTTAATACTTTTTGAAACTTTTTCTGCTTGGCAGCCTAATTTTTTTTCAAGCTCGCGACAACGCTGGTTGTGATTGCAGCTTTTCGACGTTGAGCTTTCCTTGCATTGTTGGGCGCACATTTTTTGCTGCGCGGAGGCGGGTGCGTATCTACATATGCTCGATTTGGTTTCCCGTTTTTCGATCTGGAGACAGCCATGTAGCTTGATGGAACCTTTTATGCTAGAACCCTGTTCTAAATACTACCATGTTTCGGACCCCGGCGAAGTCGATCAGCCTCAGCCTGTTATCGGACGTTTCGTCATGGAGGATGAACTTTCCAGTAGAGGCACCAAAGATCCCTTCCTTGCCCACCCTGGGATTGAAGTCGCCAAGCATGAGTTTTATAACGTGACGGGGACAGCGCTCATGAAAGAGATCCTTGGATGCCTCGTCCTTCTCTTCCATCGGGGCATTGGCATATATGAGCAGGATGTGGGAAAATCACGCTTTGATGCGAGTGAACGCCCGTACTCAGCGGCGGAGTCTCTCTCCCACCACAAATCCAACACCGAATCGCTCCTTTACGTGGCCACTGTGGTAGATGACGCTTACCTTGCCTTGCTCCGTCCATCGCATTTCTTGTACGGCGGTGATGTCAGCATTTGTTTTCCCTGAGGACATCAACCAGCCGGGCAGAGGCACCCGGCCGGATAATCCAGTTGAGTGCCCTCAAATAATAGTCCTTTATACATTTGCCGTGATCGTCATCAAAAGAAGGCGGATATCATCCGAGGCATGTTTTTTTTTGTATTGAGCTGGGTTTCAACCCAGCGCACGCGGGGTTTTACGCCCTCTCAGTTTAGCTCGCTCAAAAACGGCTGTTTGGTCGCTACCCAGATGATTCGTGGATATAAATATACGGCCGTAG